GAGCTCTGTCCAGCCTGGCCTTAAAAACTTCCAGGGATGGGGCTTCCACCAGCTCCCTGGGCAACCTGTTCCAGTGTCTCACCACCCTCATTTCTGTAACAGCAGCTGACTGCTTGAAAGCAAAAGTGGAAAGAGCAGAACTGTCATATTTTGGACAGTATTTGTGGTGGTATCATGACAGTAATCTAAGTGGTCCTGCTTTATTGAGACAGCACAGAGTCACGTGGCTGGTCTAGAGTGATTTTGGCCAATTGCTTTTCTGGCCAACAAAGTTAGTTTCCTTGTAGTGCTGCAGTGGAGCAGTTGGATGATGTAATTTTCATTCAAATTGGAGGAATGCCATTTTCTGTAACAGCCAAGCCTTGGGTCTCAGGTTGATGGACCATAGTGTTGATGAGTATCAAATAGGTCTTCCCAGTGCAGCTGCATACATTCACAAGCTGGATACTTTAATAATAATAATACTAAAATTAATACATTTTAAAATTTGGAAATATCAGACTTATTTCTGGGTTTTGTCATGGTGCTTAGGCCAGATTCAACAAAAACCCTGCTCTTGGGCATAGTTGATGCACTGCTGAGTACGGATGGATGCAGATGTGTTTTACACTGTTAATAGTTATCGAACACAATTGTAATATATAATTAAGGAAAGGCATGCTCCTCTTATCCCCCCGACTAAATAGGTGATTGTTACTGACATGAGAAGTGTTTGATATTTACCAGCTTACTTTTTAATAGATTTTAGATTTTTTTTCTTAGTGTTAAGACAAAATGAGATTTAAAGCACTCTTTTTTTTCTTGAGGGGGAAAATAAGTTGATGGGTGTATTGAAACTGGTACTAGCTAATGTGATTGTTACTCTAGAGACAGGTGCTACAGTTTCATCAAATGGCTTAAAACGAGTTGTTGCATTAAGGATGTGAATGGCTCAAATGTAGCAACTCAATGCCATGCCCATTGTTATGGGAGTGTGTCAATAAAAATACAATTATTTAAACACTGGCTAAGGAAGACGGCTCTGACTTCTGAAATGCACAACTCTGTAATGTGTTTTTAAATGAAAAATAGAAACTAACATGCATTTAATGACTTCAGAGAATATTTTATATGTGATGTCTTGAGAGGTTTAACAATTGAATAACTGAACCCAGCCTGCGACCTTAGAAATCACAGCAACCCTTGGTGAGGAAGTAATTTGTAGATGGTGTCAAATGTAGTTCAGCCATTGCATGCCTTCTAGAGATACACTTTATAAATTGCTTGATAAATCAAAATATAGTTAATGTTCAGTAAATAAACTGAAAAAGTTTAAGGAGACCTTTGTGTTTTAATGGTACTAAAAATCTTTATTCAAAAATAACTTTCTGAAAGCTTACTTGTATGAGAAGATGGTGCTGGTTTGTTTTAACATCAGCTGTGTTGATGTCAGTGCCATCTTATTTTGAATATTTGCTGAATTTCAAAGATATCTCTAAATCAGTCAAAATATGACTGTTTAGGAACCTGCAACATTTTCCAAATTTTTTTTTTTTTTAAGACTTAGGAACTGAACAGTAATAGTTTTTGTCACGTCAGATTGATTAATCCCTGAGAATGGTTCATGCTTGTTACTGATATATTAAATAGTTGTGTGTCTCTATGTAAATAATATTTTCATCTCACTTACTTTGCATACAGTTTAATGCAGGTGTTCAAGGCTTCCTCAACAGAAGCAGCACTACAGAAGATGCTTGGAGCAGTGCTTTGATAGTTGGCTTTGAATATGACCAAGTATCTTTTCCTTCACAAATGCTCTGAGGGTGAATTTGTTATTCTAATAAAAATCAACTGTGTGTAATATAGCTGTAGTCAGATAGTTGAGCTCTCTTTAAAACTGCATGTATAATTTCAGGGAGAACTTAATGAGCTTGCTAGTATTCTGCATTATGTGTTCAAAGCAGGGCTGGGGAGGTAATTGCTTCAGAGTTTCAGTACCAACCTATAAAAACCCTAGTGGACTTTTCAAATGTGTAAGGTAGTTACATTTGTCCATAGATGCTCCTAGAGCATTTGATCAAAAAACAGTTGCCACTTTTGTGGCTGAAAACAAAGACTGATTACATAAAATAAATTAGATGACTGTTCTGCTGTCCTTTAACATCTGGCTGGGTAGAAGAGAACGTGTTCTTTTCGTCACTGCGAAATGCTCTTTGGCTTCACCTCTCACTCTTGTGTCTTGCTGGTGCAACTAAAACGTGAATGATGTTGCTGGTCATGTTGGTCATCAGGAAAGACTGTTATGCTCAAAGCTGTTACAATTAAGTTATTTCTGAGCTCTCATAATTTTGGTTTGAAGCAATCTGCACATAATCTGGCAATGGAATATAAATTACATCATCTTCTAGGATTGTAACATGTATTTTTAAGCTTGATTTTTAATACTACAATTGAAAGGCCCTTCTTCCATTTGTGACTTTTGTCTTTTTCTAAGTGCATATCTCATACAATGCATGAGACTCTATAATGTAGGGGTTTTTAAATTACCTTCCATTGTTTCACGGTGTTCCAAGGTACCGTTTTGATAATCTTGTAGTTAATTGCCATCAGTTACGTGATGTGCTTGAAACTGAGGGAACTACAAGAAAAACTTGAGGCCTGTCTTTTTCCAGCAAGCTTGCTGAACTGGTTCCGTGTGGTTTCTCTATCTGATGTGCAGTCAAAGCAAGCTGTGGCTGGAAGACTATGCAGAAAAACAAAGCTTTTGTAACTAAGTTTCGGATACGTGAAGATAAACAACTGAAACTGTTCTAACTTCATAAAAGGAACGTGGCAGAAGGGCGAAGGGCACGCAAACAGGATACCCAAAGCCATAGTAACATCCTGGCTGGATTTTGTGATGGCTGAGGGTACTGCGACTGCTCTCTAGCTGGAGCTGGGGTGAGGCTGTGGCCGCCTCCTCCCCCCTTGTACTTCAGAGAAGGTGTGAGTGTTCATGTTGAGATGCTGGTCCCAGCTGTCTGTCCATCCGCTCCTCTGCCTTGCACTCAAGTGCAGCTACACTGGGGCTGAGGACCTGCAGCCCTCGCCTCATTGCATCCTCCAAACGGCTCGTGGCTTGGGCTATGGTCTTGAGTCTAATTTGGGCAGCAGTGCCATGCTGGTAGCCAGATGAGGGGCTTGTGCTGCTGGCCTCTCCAGGAGGTGGATGTGGAGTCTGTAAAGGAACTGAATGGTAAACCTGTGTAGGGAGTTACCCGCAGGTGTTGGGAGGAGGGCAGAGATGCCTGGTTTGGTGTGGACCAGGTCAGGATGTTGGGAGTTGTACCACTATGGCTTCGATAATTTTTAGAGTTGCATCCCGTTCAGTTGGTGCACATATCTAATACTTTGGCCAGTTTAAACCTTACTTGCATTAGCTTAGTTCAAATTTTATGTCTAAAGAACTGTCTGCTTAAGAAATTCATAGTGATTTAGTGAGATCCATTTAAAACTGATTTTAATTAAACCAAAGAACCTTTTCCATTTTTACAGACGAGGCTTGTAACTAGCCTTTGTAAATGGCAATAAAGTAGATCCAATCTTAGAATGACTTTCCTTCATGACTGATTTCTTCTGGTGAAGGCAAATTTAGGCTGTTATTTTGTATATAAATGAAAAGAATTAGATTCTAAGGAAGGTTTTGTTCAATTTTTGTTCCCTTACTCCAAGAGAGGTTCCTATTTGTTAACACTTCTATTAAATTACTCCCAGTGCAGCGTTTCGCTGTCTTTGTATAGTAGATAGGCTGATAGACTCCATGACCTTTTTTATTTCTGATTTCTGTGATGCGTTTTTCTCTGACAAAAGGGAAGGTAAGAGGCGGCTGAGGTATTCTAATTTATGGTGATATGAAGCAGAATACAGAAGCATAACTGCAGTCTCTTGGTGAGATGTGCCACTTTTCTAGTATGTGGAAAAATGGATGAGTTGCTTTTGTTGAAGGGTATTTGAAGAAATGTAGTGAACATTGGGAAAAGTCTCCTGGGAAGTTCCAGCTCTAATGCTTAAATTTTTATGTAGGATGTCATTGTAGTAAGGTGTGTCTGACACATGTGTTAGGAGTTGCTGAAGAGTTTAGACTATGTGCACATCTGTCAGTATAAAAATGGACAAAAGGTTGTGATTAGAGATGAATATTAAATGTATATTGCAGGTAAGGGAAAAAAAAAATCTGAAACTTGTGTTTTTAGAAGAGCTCTTTGTGGGTGATTGAGAGTATTTGTAACACCTGAGATTCTGGCAACTGATTCTCTTTCAGTGAGTAGCTGGCAGCTAATTGAGGGCATAATTCAGCTAGTCACTAGATCCCTTTCAAGGGTGATTCTGGCAAATAGATCCAGTCAATATTTTTTTTTCTTTTTGTGTTACAAAATGGATGCTGGTGCAGAGCTTATATTCAAATTGATTGTGTGCAGGACAGACAAATGGAATTCCTTTTGACTAGCAGTAAATCCATAAAAGTACTCACCATGTAATCTTTCACCCACTTTTTTTTTTTAATAGAAATGTACAGAAAACAAAACCAAGATGCCACATTCTGATCTCTCACTTTTAATATCTGTTGCATGTTTTTTACCTTGGTTCTTTCTATTCTGCTTTGCAAACAGCAGATTTACCTTTTCATATAGGTATATATGGGGAAACTTAGCTATTGAATAGAGGCCCTTTCTTAATGACGTTTATACTCCAGTAATGCCAACAAGCATATGGTGACATTAGTTTTCTAGGACGGATGGTCCTGCATGCAAAGCTTTCTCTTCATCTACATTTTGGACAGTAGGTAGTACAGTAAATCTAAACGACAACTTTTAAAATAAGCCATCTGAGTGCTACAGAGTCGCATCTGTTCTGGAAGCAGAATCTGAATCACTTGCTCATGCTAACAAAACTTGGATATGAGCACAAGAAACTGGACGTGAGCAACAACAGATTACACACAAAATTTCTTTGTGAGTATTGTTCTTGTCTTTTTGATGCAGATTCAGTCCAATCCGAGATGTGCTTCTGAGTCTGAAAATCATTCTGGATCAGAGAGACTTAAACAAGGTCTGTGCTTCAGTGTGCTTCTAAGCAAATTGAGAAGCACAGAGTGGTGCTATGAATAGGGAAGATGATGTGATTCATTGTACTCAGGTTTGTGTCCTGATGCATGTGATTATGTCAGTGATTTCACTTAAAAGCAGGTGCAAGCTCTTCAGAAAGTGAATGAATGTAGTGTTCTATAGCAACACCTTTTCTCCTCTATAAGCAGTATGGTCAGAATCCTTGTTTAGTTGAAATGGAAAGCGATGCACTGTTTGAATTCCTTAAACAAGTATTTTCAGATGATACAATATATTAAGCCTCAAAAACTGCAGAAACACTTTAATTAGACTTTTTTTTCCCCTCCTTCAGGTGATCAGGGGCACTTAATGTCCACAGGGTCTCTTCGTAAAAAGAAACTGGCAAGAAGACCTGGATACATGAGGCCGGAAGCTCAGAGACAGATAGAATTTCAGTCCCTGGGTGCCTGCAAACCATTCAGCCCAGAAGAGCTCAAACATGGCAGGCAGCATTGTGGAGACTTTGAGAAATGCTCTCTTCAAAGACGATGCCAAAATAACTTTGACTTCTTACAGTGTAGTGCAGCGAGTAGTGCCGTAGCTCCTGCTCACGGCCTAGCAGCGTTGGCCACTACTGGAAGTATGCCAGGACACTGCCAAAGCCTTCAGTGTTGCAAGAGTCCACGGTCAGAAGACACGGTGATAGCAGTGTATCCTGCTGCAGCAACAAGCAAAGGAGATGTTTCTGTTGTGTGTTGTACACAGCCGAGAAGCCACAGCACTAAACTGAGCAAGGCCCCAAACGTGCATGCTTTGGATCAGACAGAAGTGAACAACAACTGTGACTATCAAAATGGAGATGGTGTTTCTCGTCCTGTTGGTGCACATGATAGCTTTAGTTCAAGTTTCAGCTTCATACAGCTGTCCCTGAACTTGGCCTCTGGAGTAAACGATGCTGAAGGCAGGTCAACCAGTGAGGAAGCTGACTATCTGCATCCCAGCACTGCAGAAAGTCTGCAAAAGCCAGAAGAAATGGTACAAACTTGTGAGCGCCTAGGAACTTTGCATGGCTTCTCCAGGCCCACTGAAGATTTGGAGTGTGAAAATGAGACCACAGCAAATTGTAAACCAGAAGACTGTGAGACAGTTTCTCTCTCCGATACAGATGCAACATTTTCATATTCTACAGATTCCTCGGATGCAACATCTGCTGGCTCTTCTGTCACCTCAGGCTATGAAAGTAGCTTCACTGTTAGTGAACATAACTGGGATACTTTGATGAAAAAGTATGAACCAGTGCTACAGGACTGCCTGCTTGGCAACCGCAACACATTGAAGGTTAGTCATCTCTTCATTTTTGATTCCTCCCCCTGGTCCTCAAAACGTTTTTATTTGCAGTCCCAAGGTTGAAGTTAATATAGGAATTGGGATATTAATGGCTTCTGTGGCATTTGTTCATAGGGTTCTACAGTAGCAGTCTGTGTGGTAGAAGTGAGAGAACCAGTTTCATGTTCATCATTTTTTTAAAGATGATGTTGCAGTAACCTGTTCTATGTTCTGCTGAAACGATCCTCTCATTTCTAGTATGTCACACACCAGTTTCTGAATTCAGCACATACCATTTTCTTCCACAGGAGGCTGTTTTGTCTGCAGTTTGGAGTGTATGTAGTACAGAATTTAGGGGCAGTAAACTCTTTTCTTGAAGCACTGTGATTTAACAACACTAAACTTTGTAGCTGAAGATGTGTAAGTTCAGCTGAAGATTTCTTGGAGCGAGTCACCTATATGACAGTAGTTTGTAATCTAACAGATGGGTACTTTCCTTGCACAAAATAGGAGTCAAGTCCCTACTCAAACTCTAACTGGGATTTGAAAGTGTTTTTTTCTCCCTTTCACCCCAGAGGACTGCTGGGCTGTTGATTCAGGACTCTTTCTTTTTGCACATGCATGTACTTACCACATACATGGGCAGTCTCGTTCACTGTGTTCTTTGTGGGAGAGAGGTTGCAAAGTTATAAGAAGGATCAGTTATGTTTTGTTATACAATTTTTGGGAAGGCAGGGTGAGCATCGGAGAGAAAACGTTCTGAGCTTACCTGCAGTAAGGAGCCAAATGTTGGCTTTATTGTGCATGAAAGAAGTAGTCCAGGGATTAATGTGGACGTGATGGTTTTCACATATTTAAGGTGCACTTTTTTGCTTGTCTCACTAGAACCCCAAGCTTCTGGGATGCCTTTCAGAAACCCGTGTTCTTGTATTCCTTAGTTCAGACATACCTGTTGAGATGCACTATATTGTCTTGAGGCCTGATGAAACAACCTGCTGTGGGGAGAGTTTACACAACCCTGATGTCTGGGTAGTGCAAAAGGTGGAGAAACTTTTTTTATACTTGTTTTCTCTCCATGACGTCTGACCTGGGCTTAAGATGCTCTGTAATACTTTTCATAGAGGATGCAGGTAGAACTCAAACTAGATTCTCTTACTTACAGACATGGAGCAATTTCTTTGGCTTCATGCCTGGAATGACAATCTACCGGTAGTCTGGGATGGTTTGGATAATTAGTTCATTGCTAATTTGGGAATATATAACATAATCAAAATAGGAAATTATTTTTCTGTCTTTTCAGTAGGCTTATTTGATGGGCACAAAAACCCTATTGCTATCTTTAATTTCTGTATTCATTAATTCCTTGAAGAGAGGATTGCAGATTTGTGTCCTCAGATGTCTTTGCCCTTGGTTAGCCAGTTGTGTATGTTTAATTTGAAGCATCTTCCTGTTGTAATGAAAATGAGCATGTCTCAAACTTTTGAGAAAGGAACAAAGGCAACTGGAGTCAAGAATAGGAGGCAATACCAAAGTTGTTAAAATGATGCTTTTTCTGTACTTACTAGAACAAAATTAAAAGCAGTATCACATGGTACAGATATAGGCCATGCTGTGCAGGAGTAGTTCTTTCTTTGATTAGTTGAGCTCCAGAGATCTTTCCAGCCTGCAAATGGAGAACACTTTACTGTGACAGCATCAGTCAGCTTGCTGTGGGCCTGCAATATCCAAGCAAACTTTAAATGACTTGCCACTGTGAGTGTGTGATGGAATAAACACTGCAAACAGCAGCAGAGCTGTACGCTTAGTGTAGATGGTTGTTATACATCATATATATGAAAAAAATGTCATTTGAATCATTCTTACTGCAGGCTTCTTTAAAACTCTACCAAGAGCATGGCATTAAAATGCAGAAAATAATTTATGGTGAGGATTCAGAGCTCCTCCCTTCAATTTTTCACACATTCCTTACTAGTCTCAAAGAAAAAAGGCTGGAGTTTCAGAATGGGAAAACCAAAATAAAATAAAACCTTTGAGGAAAAGGGAGAATATATATATCATGTTGGGTTTTTTTTTTTGGTTCTGGGGCATCCTATAGCCTATCGTTAATTCTTTGATTATTTTCTGGCTTTATTTTTTATAGTTCTTTTCTGACTAGTCCACTTTCACATACCATATTTAGAAGGTATACCATTAAGTTTAACGTCTTGCCTAACTCATGTGTTGTGTAGTTGTGATAATGGAATTTTTCTAGTAAGTTATTGATGGACTGTACCTATTTTTCTCTATGCAATTTAGAGCTAAATGTAGGGTTTAAAATACAAAAGAGTTTCAGGAAATATTGAAAATTTTTGTAAATGCAGAATGTCTAAAGTATGGATTTTCTTAGGTTGGAAGCTGCTTTCCCAGCCACTTTCAGGCTTTGGGCTGTGAGGATATATGCTGCTTCTTTTTCCAAGCTTAGCTTTTTCAGTGCTGATAATGGCTTGTTTGGTACAGGCCATGTACTTTCTAACAGTAAAAACTTGTTAGTGCCATTTGAATGCACACCTAATCTTACCAACTTTTAGTAAATTTAGAACTTTAGTCCAGACCGTTCATATTAACAAAGAGAAACAGTAGCCTTGGAAATAAAACTCGGTTATGGTAAGAGGGCTTTTTTTTTTTTTGAATGTGAAAGGGTAATCTGTGTGTGGTACAGGTATTTTTTGTGTTTTACTGTTTTTCCACCTCCAGCATTTGCAGCACGAACATTTCTGAAACTGCAAACATCAATGTTTTGTAGATGAACCTAATTTATATTTTAAAGAATCATCATTGGCCGCATATGAACCAAATTTTCTGTGCCATAACATGAAAATACCTGTACTAAAATATTCATACTCTATTTCTCTTTTTACTTGCAGAAGAAAATATGGTTTCCATATTGAAACTCTGGATTTGTTCTGTGTAAAACTTGTATAGGCAAAAAATGGTTAGAATGGGCCTAAAAGCACACTGAGTACAGTGTGATCAGTAGATATCATGCTGGCAGAATCCTCTAATAATCCTTTCTTTGATTTAGTCAAAGGGTGAAAAACATCCTGTGATCATATGATCTTTTTTTCAAGAAATATTGGGTTTTTTTATTCTCTGTCTGTGCTTGGACTAAACCTATGCTTGGTTCAAATAACTACAGTTCAGCTGACTTCCAAATAGGTCTGTCCACTTAACAAATGTTGGGTTTAACTCTCAAAATTGGACTGTTCTAGTGATAGATCCATTAAATCTATGTAAAGGTTAATAGTATAAATATTTTTAAATGCAGTTTTTTAATACTTTTTTCTCTTTGCATAGATCAAGTCCTTGATCTTACGGCTTCAGAGGCTTCAGGAAAAAGCAGTAGAGGAAGATGACTATGACAGAGGTGAGAACTGCTGCCCCCTGCCCCCCACTGCATCATGCTGCACTTTTATTTTCCTGTCCCCCTCCTTTCTCTATTAATTTTATGTTCACTACATAGTAGTGGGTGGGTGTGGAAGACTAGTTCATTGAACTGTATTGTTTATTCTGTGATATGGCAGGAAACAAATTAAAGAAAGAAGTAGGTCAGCAGCAGGTAGTAACAGTTTTTGTTTTCTTGAGCCACATCTCCATGTGGGAAGTTCGAAATCTGAACATCCACCATCTGGATCAGCTGTTTTGAAGCAGCATGACTTTAAAAAATGCAGAAATGAATGAAAGCTTTGAAAGGAGAGAGAGAGGACAGGCACTGGCTCCTGGCAGTGTGATTTGTTGCTTGCCACACTTAGTCATGATCATACAGCAGGGCTCAAACACAGAAGTGAGGTCAGTAGCTGTTATAAAAGTGAATGAAACTGTCCTGTGGGATTAGCTTTGTCCACTGAACTGAATCAAAACCAGCTAGAGAATATGGTGGTGATGCAGCTGCTGGCAAATACCTGCATTTGAGTAGTGCTTTTCCTTTTAAATGCCTTGACACCTGTGGTAAGCTCCATGTGCACGCACATTAACAATTAGAGTGTCTGTTAACACACATCTCGGGTTTCTTACTGTTTCCTGTTACAGTAATCCATGTTCAGGTACTTGTATTTTCATAATCTTGGGGTTCTAGATTAAATTCTTCCCCTAGATCTGTCTTCAGTTGGTAAGGCCTGCAAACATTTCAGTAAAATCTTGTGAGTGCTTCAGAGAATAAGGCTGGTAAAAAATTCCTTTCTTGCCACATTTTTGTTCTCATTTTTTAGGGGTTGGGAAGTGGTCAAACTTGTGGTTTGCCAGTCAAAATTAATGCATGAAGCTTTGCAGTTGTGCCATGGCTCTGTTTCCCTGTCCCAGAGGCATCCCCCAAGATGACTGAACTATATTTTAATTGTGTCTAGGGAATAGGTGGGTAGCCCTTCCACAAGCATGGTTCTGCTTGCCTCTTAAAGGCTTGCCTAAATATAGCAGAAAAGTCTGATACTGTCACAAGTCGTTCTTTTAGTGTGGCATCTCCCAGTGGGGAAACCCTTTAGGTATGTTAAAAGCTGAGGGTGTTGTAGATATTCATGGGTTTAATCTCTGTCAAATAGACATTATTGGTGTGTATGCTTTACATGTGTAACATTCATAACTCTTCTAAGTGCCTGTGGGTTGAGTTCCCAGTTGGAGACTTCCTGACAGCTGTGTGCTGAGTGTGTGTGGTTCCCACAGATTCCAGCTGGGATTCTCTGGGCACTCAGCCACTCAGACAGCAATATTTTAGTATATCAGGTGTGACATCTGCATGTGATGCCATGTAGCCATTGACCACAGTGGAAAATGGTGACTTGTCTTGTATCTTCAGAACGGGACCATCTTTCTGTTGACCATCATTTTATCAATCACACTTTTTAGTTCCTACTCTGGTTATCAGGCAGATAACATGGAGGGCAGCTTGCAGGGCCTTGTGTTAGTTCCCCTCAGAAAAATGGTCTGGCTGAAAGAAATGTGATTTCACCAGCTGTTGTGGGCACAGCTTATAGAGAGCAGAAGTGGCAGCAGTACAAAGGTGGACAGCATATCCGCGGGTGGGTTTGCTGTTTTCTGTGCTAAATCTGGCATATGTAGGCAGACATATGTCCTGATTTAACTAGATACTGAGGTTCTTGAGAGACTTTGTCTTGGATTGCTCCATACCTTTGAAAAGTGGAACTCCATCTTCACCCCAATGTTCTCAGAAAATTCCATGCTCCATGCGTGCACATGACCATGGAGCCTTAATTTTATCAATTCCTGATTTTTGAATGCTTGACCCACTTTCTGTCATACTAGTCTTTGTTCTTTCTCTGATACAACAGTCGGCAGGGTGGTTTTGCAACTAACTTTCATTATTTTCATGGTATCTGAACTGGCTTCCTTTATTTTTTTTTTTTTTTTTGTGAAACACAGGCAGCGTTTCTCCAGGGAAAGACTCACATGGAGAAGGTGCAGTGCTGCAAGAAGAATTAGAGCTGTGCCCTTCCCTCCTCCTCTTGCAGTGGCAAGCTTTCCACCTTTACTTTTAGAGCTATATCATTGCTCCTGGTGGAGAACAAAGTCCTGCCTGGCGTGAAGTGAAGTTTGAAAGCTTATTAAATAGCTTGCAGATTGGCCCACTACCAATTTCTGTTCAAATGAAATCTGTAATTAGCCTTCTTTAGAGGGATCTTATTGCCAAATATTGCTAGCAGGGAATGGAGCTGCTGAACGTGCAAGGCTGTGATGTGGGACATAAATGGAAATATATTATCGGGGAGTGGGAGAAAGGGACACAGTGTACGTGGAGGGCTGAGGACATTTTAACTATAATGCTACAATAAAATTACTGTGCTTGTAATTGGGGGACTTCTTTGAGCATAGAGCAGGTCCTCTGTTAAGAGCAGAACTGTGTTGAAGCAGAGTCTGTGCTAGTGGTGTGTGTGGCAGTAGCACAGATCTTGCTGATTTGGAGGTGCTGCAGGGGAAGGGGAGATGTAGTATGATGTGGGTAACTGTGAATGCCCTGTATGTGGAGGAGGTGAGAAGAAGGGAAGGAGAGCAGGTGGAGGATGGGTATGGGCACCTGTACCCTGAACTGAAAACTAAACTGTCAATAAATATATTATTGTAACTACATTTTTGCTTCAGTGGTAGAGGCCCTTCTCCAGATTCAACCATAGATAAGAGCTCAAGAGATTTTTTTTTTTTTTTTTTTTTATGGCTCTTAGATAGCTGGAGTCAGGTCTTGCAGGAGAGGGCTCAGCTTTTACCAGCAGTTCAGTGGGAGGGTAGGTGTGTCAGCACTTAGAACTCCTCACAATACTTGGGACTAGTTTCTGCTGGCTGACACTGCAAACTTAAGGAAAGGCAAGCATCTACTGTTTGATACTGCTGCTTTCTTGCTCTCCAGAGCTTTTTGAAATCTCCCATAGTTTATAGTAACTTTTGAAACTAAAATGTAGCTAAATTGGTGCCCCTACAGAGAGAGGAAAGTGATATGCTCTTTTTTAGTTATGGCAGTGAAAGTAGGAAATGTCACAGTAATAAAGGCAAGTTTTTTTCCCCCCTACAAAGTCATCAACAAATACCTTGTTGCAAACAGGTCAGGAATAAGGATGTATTTGTTTTTCCCCTTTGCAGAAACACAGAACAGATGCTTTCTGCTTGTGTCTGTTACATGTTTTTTGCAGGTTTGTGTTAGTAAATTAGCATTTATTTCCTGAGCAGGTGATGACTTTTTTAAAGGGATATTTGGAACCACAATGCTCCATTGATTAGGAGAGAAGTGAATGTCTGTTTACATCTTCAGCTTGTTTCTTCCTGGTTTTTCCTTCCTTTAGATGAATCAGTTTGCTCTGCGGTGTTTCTCTCAAGCCTGGGAGGTGTGCAGCAGAAATGACTTTTGCCTTTGCTTGTTTACATGTGGTGTGCCTTCTTAAAGACCTACTTTGGCATGGTTAGGGTGTTGGTGTAGAGGAGCTTCAGTCACTTGAGCAACTGCAGTTTCTTCCTATGCTTTCTGGCAGCGCCATGTACTTGGGGAAGGAGGGGTGTGTGTGTGTTCTGAGCTCACTGTGGGGCTGCTTGGGGCAGAGGCCACCTTCCTGTCCCATGTTCATGCTCATCTGGTAGGGGTCACTGAGGATGATGCTTTAAGACTTGCAGGATGCTCTCTTCATACTGTAGCCCTCGATGGGTTGTTTCAAATGCAGATGTTCCTTGGCTGTAAAATGTTTGTGTGAAATACATATTCGGAGAGACAAATCTCCACAGTCCTTGTTTAATTTTAAATAGGAACCATTAGGATGTTACGTGTTTGCTTGCTCATTCTGTGTTTGTAGGTGATCAAATATCAGGAAGTAGCTTAATTTTATCTGCATTTACTTGTGGTCTCCTCTTGATGGCCACATTACTGTATATTTTCAAAGCAGGTACAGTACCATGGGAATACGATAACACTGCTGTGCCTTGTGTGGCATATAGTAAAAATTGGTCTGTTCTCCAAGGATCGCTTGGAGTGTTGTCATGGCTCATTATTCATGATGGAGCTTGACAGCTCCAAGGTTAAACACACTGGTGAATACAGGAGGTTAAAAAAAAAAAGCATGTTTTTGTGTCTGGGAGCGTTATGCTTGCAGTGGACGCAAGTGTATTTTTGCTCAGTACACTTAAAACCCCCTCTCCTGTTCTTTACTTCTTGTATTCCTCAACCTTGTCGGATACCAGGGGCAAGTGGGTTGGTAACTAAGTGTCAGGACTGGGTGTTGCTGCTGAACTCCACTACTGGTTCATATGCCATCTTGTTACTGAGAAAAAAGTATCCGCAGAACTGCTGATTCTTAATTTTTTTAAATTTTTGTTTTATTTTTGAATTCTGTTGTGCAGGAATGTGTATGTTACAGATTCACTGCTAGCAAGTGGTAGGGAGTTGTAACTTCCCTGTACAATCAAATTATAGGCAAAGTTTGGGTTCTCCAGTGAAGGCTGTTGAGTAGAGCAACTCATCAGTCCAATGTGGCAGCTAGACTATAGAAACAGTTACATTAGTTTTGGCAAACCTGTCCTATCTTGGCAAAGAAAATTCATGTTGTAGATACATGTAATGTCATGCAAACCTTTAGTAATGTTTGTTGAGGTCTCAAAGCTTGAGCTATATGAACTGGTGAGCTGCCATGGACTTATGCACTGTGTGCTCTGCAGAAAAATGACGCTTGTACGTTGGTTTCTTTTTTCTTGTGCTCTGAGACCTCTTCATTCCAATTGTTGTTGCCATGTCTCAGTACCTACAGGGCATCAAGGACTGACTCCTGTGCTGTGTAGGAGGTGGAGTCTCTTTTCACACATTTTCCATTAATCACAAGTGCAGGATAAGAAAGGAAAGACTGTAGCAGTTGGCCTCCTGTACTTTTACACTAGAAGAGATGCTTGTTGCACACTTGAACCAGTTATTTCCTTTAAGGCAGCTGCAGTGAGAGAAGACAATAGAGCATTACATTAAGTAA